TTGCATAGACAAAAAAATTATCCTAAGTTGGATCTGACCACATGTTAGCAGCAGGCAGCAAAACTTGACAGTTTGTTTCGAGTCAATCTCGAGTAATTTAGAAGAACGACTTTTAATGATCCTTACTGCTTTCTTTTGTTTAAACTCAAATGCAGAACAGATTCACATATTTTAAAAAATGCTCCGATCAGTCAAGAGAGCCAAGAACAGACTTCGGCTTGGCAGAGCAGCGCACTGCATTGCGTAGAGAATCTGATGTTGTTCCATTCAGTTTAACTGTTTCCACTGTTTCGTATGATTAGCAAACTCTACTTTATAGCATGCGAATAAAAAGCAGCAAGCATTGGCTCCTAAAAATTTCGATGAAACTGAGACCGTTCGACAGCGACGATGCTACGCTCGAAGTGTTAGCCGCTCAAGGCCTGTTTCTGATGTGCGAGAGGAGTGCAGCGGTACTGGAGTGTCATCACCATCATCGACCTCGTCACACAGTTGGATTAACTTTCAGTAAAAAAAGGAAAAACAAAACTCTCTAAATTTTTGCAGTTTTTTACACAGCTACGATACGACTGTACGGCAGATTCATTTAAGAATATAGCTACTTTTTGTGCTCATTCAAATCATAATTTGCATTTTCGCCGCGTAAAATTGCTAAGGTTGTCTGGATGGGGCAATATTTCGGATACATAGAAGAGCATAGCTACTTCATTCCAACTGTTTTTGCTTTAGTTTAAGCGCTCGGGTTCGGCCTACCAACGGCCGCAAAAAATCACTTAACAATTTCGCCCTCTTCGGCGGCCCCACTTGAACTGTCCAATTTTGGTTCGACCTTTTACGGCCCTTCTAATATCACATCTGATTAGATCAGAGGCATGCAGGCAAATTTTGCAGCGGGACGCTAACGTAGAAATAATCAGGCTGTAAACACGCGCTGCTTCAGTATTATTAAAACCTCCTTCACTATCGCAAGGTGGCACAGGTGGGCTTTTGTGCAAGGCTCACCAGTAGCAGAATTTCACAAAAATGCTGCTTTAGATTACATTATTCGGTGCTCATCAGCTGGAAATTACAGTCAGCGAAGACCGCAATCATCGCACTCCTTTACGCTGCCGCCGTCCGAACCAAGCAGTCCCAAGCCCGATGACGATTGCAGTAATTTGCCCGCAGCCGAACTCTACAAGCAGGTAAAAAAAAAAGAAACAAAGTGCAGCA